AAGCAATACAAGTAAATATTTGTAATGTAATTTACAGAATTTGCTAGAAACTTTAGGGCTTAGTAACTTGTTGATTACTCTGTAGTTTTTCTTGTCTCAGAGAAAGTTAACATGAATCGGCATATTGTTGAGTCCTTAGAAGCATCGTCTTGATTCAGTTAGTTTGGTGATCTTTGTTATCTTGTTACAATCGACATCGTCATCCTTGTACTTCCATCTACCTGCATATATTGCTTTTGTTCTGTACAGTTTCTGTTATTGCTGAAAAATTGAGCAATTTTCAGTGTTACATTGAAAAACAGTGAAGGAAGAAAAACAATTGTTTAAACCAAAAGGCGACTTGTTATGTTCTGTTGATTCATAAATTTTGGTTGGATTTTGAAGCGTAATTAATGGTTGGGTTTTAGCACGAAAGGCAGTACTTACCATTTAGCAGAATCCTCTCCAATTTATCACAGCAGTCAAAACAGTTATTCTACCCTTTTTTTTTTGGGGGGAGGGGGGCTTTTGAAATAGTACTTTTGCTGATGTTCTAGTTGTTATTGGTACAAAAATGTAAAACGAGACGACGTTGTTCTGGGTTTGATACACTGAGTGTTGTTTCTCAGTTAGATGCACTTGTCAACACGAAGGAGCAAGATTTTTCATGTGTTATGCACATAAAAGGGTTAAAGAAGTTTTCCTATTGCATAAACAAGACAGGTTCATCTAGTGATGAGGCTTGAGTAACAAAGCTTTAGGTAGAAGAAATTTGTGATTGCAGTATCCGACATTTTGTTTTTTCTTCTGTTCTTCCGGTCATTTTGTACAAAAATGGCTTTAATCTAACGTTCTCAGTCCTAGTTTTGGCATTACTGGTTTTAATAGTTCGTATTGGTCTAGTGGCTTTGAATCATAATTCCCTATTTTTCACATTTCGCATATAGTTTTACTCTGTCATTCGCTGCACCAAGAATAACCTGAGGATACGTTCTATACAATAACTACAACCACGTCTTGAAGTGGTAGTTGGACGTAACGAAATAAAAGTTAGCTGTGGATGAGAATCAGTCTCTGTTATAGAATTTCTTGAAAGTGCACTCGATGACGACGTTTGAATTGAAGATTACAGCACCTTCAAATGAATATCCATATGTAAAACGTTTCAGCTCAGAGATGAAAATTTCCGAATTGAAGGTATGTAGCCAGATACTGTGTCTTGAAAATCTTTTCAGTAATCTATACGTTTGAGGGGTTTTTACGTTTCTCGTATGCCAGGATAACGGGTTGGAAGCTAGTTCAGGGTTGTTGACCGAGGTTGCTATAATGTGCGTAGAGTCTGCCAAGTAAATTTAGACCTTATCAAGTCAAATTTGGGTGCTTTCGATTGCATTGAGCAATGAGACCTTTTTAAAGATAGTTTTGAAATTTTTTCTCGTTTTTATGATATAGTTTTGCAGGAGAAACTACAGCTTATTGTGGGTACGCCAAAGGAAAATATGAAATTAGAATTACGCAATAAATCGGGGAACCCGATATGTGCACTGACGGACGAACAGCAAACTCTTGCATCTTTGAAGATGGCTGATGGTAATTTCTGTGTGATTTTACTAGTTATTTTTCGCTTTCTAAGTGTTTTTTTGCGTAATGCTAGGTCGCCTTCTTATAGTCGGTCGCTGATTTATATTGACTTACTTTTTGGGCCTTATTTTCGTTTTATAGAATATTGCCGGGTGGTTTTACTACAATGTTTTTGTAACAACTGTTTTAGGTATGGAGGTTTATGTAAAAGATATGTTTGGAAACAGTGGACTAAACAGTTTTCCACCAGTGGAGAAATATGTTTTGCCTGATGAAAAGTATAACGAACGGGCTGGTGAGTGCTGCTTCTACTTCATTGTATTTGTAAAACTGCTCTGCTTTTTTACAAATTTTTTGGGATTTTTTCAGCTTTTTTTAATAATGTTGGAGTACCATGAGCGTCTGCGTGGCTATAACTGCAATTTTGGGGGAAGGTTGTCTCAACAATAACATAAAACAATAATTACGGTCTAGAATCAGCATACTGATTAAATCTAATCATTTCACTGTGAAATGTAGCTATTGAGAGTTCTGTTTTACGTGGATTTCCGTGTATTTCCTCTCCACAGTCTCATTCGTTAAGAAAAATTTAACAGTGTTTTGGGGAGCTTAAATGGCTTTATCCGTAATCTAATCTTACTTCAGAGTGAAAAGTTCTAGTTTTTCATTTTTTCACTTAAGAGTTGGTGGTTAACGTTTTCAATTTTGCTATCACAAAGTTTGAGCTTGTTAGGGTTTTTCTTTTTATTCTTGATTAAACTGTTAAGAAAGTGTTCGTACATGGAGGAAACGAGAGCAGCTTTTGTCGAAAGCAAATATGGAGGAAGAGTCTGAAAAAATTGCGAAAAGTATCAAGGTTTGTTGCATTAATTGTAGAACATTTAA